ATATGTTGGCATCCATAGGCACCTGTGCACACATTCACAGACACACACAAATACACATAAATAACAATAAAATAACAATAACTGTAATTTTTAAATTTATTGAAATCATACACACATTAACCATTTGTAACTGTTGTGAAAATTAAAATTTTAAAATAAATAGTTAAAACTATTGTGTTTTTATGAAGCAAATGACTGAGAATATTCACTTGATTTAATTATAAAACAAAGGAGGAAAGCACAAAGTGAATGTACCCTAAAATGAGCTAGAGATTCCATCTGCTTTGTATTCAGAATCCAATTTTCTTTTGCAGTTATACATCCAAGACTACACAAAGTGTCACATCAGTTATGAAATGTTACCTTCTACATCTGTGCTCTCTGCTTCCATCAGCTAAGTGCCTTTCAGGTTTACAACATTTCCTTAACTATACAAAGTCTGTCATACTTACACAATAATTATTAGATTTCTGAAGACAGATAAATGATCTAAAGTTGTCCTGTTTGCTTGAATGCTAACACACATAATATCAAAATATGTAGTATAATGCATATGTAAACACAACACTAACACTCTATTTTAGAGTACTAGCGCATATTTAACCAACTTTTTAATGAAGGGATGAAATTCCTGCCAAACTCAAATTAAACTCTGTGATACTTTCTGTCATGGTCTTCCCCTTCCGTAATGTAAGCATTATTTTATTAATAATGTAGCAGGGACTATTAAACAGTTTATACATGAAAAACTATTTTGGGATTGTTCTATTTTGTTTTATCTTACCTTTATAAGATGCTTTTCTGTGCCTTTTGTTCAGTATCATAGCACCGATATGTATATATCGTACATATATAGTATGTATAAAGTAGTGTTATCATTTTACCTTTTCATTTATTGTTTGTCATATGTTTTATTTTACCTTCTAGATACAAGTAAACTCATTTGCTTATGAATTCTACATAGTTTAATGCAGGAAAATATTATGCAACTTATTTCCACTGTTTCCTGAATTTTCTATAGTATGCATAAGACAATTATTTACCTATTTTCTCTCTGTACATATTATTTTTCTAATTTAGTGATAATACAAACATCTGTTACATAGTCATTCTTGAATATATTCCTTTCTATTGCCATATATGTGCTGTTAAGTACTTATCTTAGAGTAAAATTACTGAAATAGATGTCAGGATTAGCAGACAATGTTAAAGAGATTTCTAGACTAGCATAAACATTTATTTACTTTCACACACATACACACACACATATATTAATTAAAAATTCAAGGTAACAGGTTTTGATCATATTCACCCTCCTCTCTTCCAGATCTACCCCTGTTTCCTAATCATCCAAATTTGTGCCCAATTTATCAAATTCATCAAGTCCATTTTGTACTGTCCATATACTCTTGGATGTATGGCTTTCCTCTGGCATGTGGTTGACTAACCAGTGGCTACTCGTTAGAGAAAACTGTCATTCCCTCTCCCAGAAGCTGCCAATTACCAATAGCTCCTCAGCTTGGGTTGAGGCTTTGTTTACACCTCCCTTCTACAGGTTAATATTTGGTCTTTCTTGGTCTTACACAGGTGTTGTACATGCTGCCGAAAGACTGAAAAATATAAGCAGTTACCCTACTGCGTCCAAAAGACATTGCTCCCTTGTAGTCATCCATCCATCATCTCTTCCTCTTACACTTTTTATTCCCCTTCTGCAAAAACTCTTAGCTTTTGGAGGAGAAAGTTTGATATAGGTTTCACATTTAGAGATGAACATTTCACAGTCTCTTCTTTTCTACACCTTCTCTTGCTATGGTTCTCTCTACTAATCACCATCTACTTCAGACCTATGTTTTCTGATGTAGGTTGAGAGATGCATTAGGCTTGGCACATGACTAAGCTGGTTTAAAGCTATGTCCATTTAGCACAGTAATAGTGGTAGATTGCTATGAACTGTCTACCATAGGTTCTTGGTACAGTAATGGGGTCAGATATGAGTTTCATCTTCTTGTGAAGTGGATTTAAATGCAATTAAAAGTGTCTGGTTACTCCTATAACACTGATGCCACTATTCTAACAGCTAGCACCAGCCATTGTTGTAACTTACATGATTCCAAGCTGGGTAAAACTAATTATTACTCTTGCTCCAGTAATAATTATTATTATTACTCCAGTAGCTTGCATGCCACCTTCAAACACTTCAAAATCAGCCAGAGGGGATGAAGCTGCCAGGTCAATATCCACTCGATTTCTCCATGTTCTGGGACTCCTATGTTGTCTTCAACAAGGGTCTTACCATTAAGTTGTGGAGGGTAACCACTGTGTTACATAAAGCATCATTTTCTCAGAATTATCTGTTGTGTGATATCAATATCTTTATTCCATTCTACTTAGATATATTTCCATATCAATGTTCTTGTAATCTTCATTTTGCCAATAACTAATAACACTGAGAACTTTTTTACATATTGTATTTGGTTATTCATCTAGCTCTTTATTATGCATTTGTTGAAGTTTTATGCTCACAGTGAGAACAGTTCCTTTGTAATTTATATGTGAAGAATTAAAAATATAGTAATTAATACATGTTGGACAGGGATACATTCTGAAAGATACACTGATAAACCAAATGTCACTGTGCAAACATTTAGTATGCTTTTATCATTTGTGGAAATGAATGTGTCCATGGATGTGTGAATATATTCATATTAATTAGATGGTACAATTTAATTCTTTTCAAATTTGTGTATTTTTCCTAACTTTTGCATTATAATAACTTTTAAAATTGTTAATTACTTCACTATAACAGGCATTTCTCAAATTTATTTTTTATTTTTTTATATTTCAAATATTTATTGCATTCAAGATACTTCACAATGCATGAAGGGAACCACAAAAAAAAAGATATATGTTTTTAAATTCTACTCATGACATCACTGAACCTCATTTTACCTAGAAGAAAAAGTTCTGCATTTTTTAAAGGGACATTTTCACAATGCTAAATTATTCAAATACCCCAGAAATTATTATCTTACTTATAACTGAAACAATAATTATTTGTGGATTTGTAGAAATGTTCAGAAGACTGTAAATTAATTACAAGGGTGTGCAGTAGGGTCTGGAAAAGGAAAATCGAGGAGCCCCTACACACCTCTCAGGCTGGAACCTGAAGAAAACATGTAGGCAGTAAAAAAGTATCCTACTTGAGAAATCCATTTTCCATTTCTAGGGAGAGTGAAGGCTAACAATGTTTTACAGCTCTTTCCAGGATCTTGTGGTAATTACAATCTGCTGTTCCCTTGGCAAGGCAGTGGTGGCACATGCCTTTAATCCCAGCACTCGGGAGGCAGAGGCAGGTGGATCTCTGTGAGTTCGAGGCCAGCCTGGACTACCAAGTGAGTCCCAGG